CAAAGACAAATAAAAAAGAACAGTAAAAAATTAATTTTAAACATTTTTATTTCCCAGAAACATAAAACGTCGTAAAGAAAGTACAGTAAATTAAAAATTATTCATTATCAAAGAACTTGTCTAACTGCTCACTGTCCTGCAGTTTCAATCGCTCTTACAGCAGCCATGGCTTGTCTCTTCATTGTTTGTCTTTTATCATGTTGTTTTTGGGTTTCCTAAGCACAGGCTGTAGCCATTGCAAGACGACTTCTTTTACGTTAGCTTCTTTCAGACTTTTTCTTTTCATAGAAGCCATCTGCAAAATATTTGAAGTTACTTTTGCTAGTCTATAATAATAAAAGAACGTGTTTTCTGTCTGTGATTTTATTGGGGCTATGGCGGGCACATAAAGACATGTTCTTTTAAACAAAGTTTATAAACTTATTATAGATAGTTATAGATGACACTATATGTCACGTTATCTAACTTATAAAAAAGCCAGTGTGTGTCGCGTCACTTCACGCTTGATTTTTTGAAATAAAAGGAATCATAAAAGCCAACATACATTTAACGAAATAGAATAGTTCAATTACTGTCTGCCCATTACGATTTTAGTGACGGAGGTGCAAGGGGGCCGTGAATGGAGTTGCCATGAAATCTTGTAAGTGTTTTAAATGTTGGTATGATTTAATGAAATTAATAAATAAGCCTAAAGTAAAGACATAGTGTGAGATAACCGAGCTTAGAGCCAAGTGCATAAAATTTACCAAGAAAGTAAAAATATCGAGCCAATTTTATATTTAAATCGTTTCTGAATTAAGGTACTTTCTGTTATATCACCAACGTTTTTAATATAAAAAAACCTCTTTAATTAACGGAAACTATAAATTAAGAATTCAATATTTTTTTTTACAGTTTTGTTTGTTTATACATATAATCCTATACTTTCAGTACATAAACTAACAATAATACTAGGTTATACTTTTCTTGCTGAGCAACATGACATAAAAGCCATTGTTGGAATGTATTGTTACCAAAACACACTGGTTTTTCTATATGTTTGAAGCTGTTAATCTAACTGATCTACTACAGGGTATATTATGGGGCGTGCATGCGCTCACGCACGTGTATAAGATAAATAATAACACCCAGTTGTACACCCTCAGGGTCCACTTAGTATGGGTGCAAAATTTAAGTTTTTTATTCTTTCCTCTTGAAGCTATGGCGGTCACACACACACAGACATGCCCTTTTATTATTATAGATTATTATCTACTTCTTTATTGCAGTTCTTAATAATAACATTATTATTTGTATACATGTGCTTCTTCGTGATGAAATTTACCCACAAAATACTCGATTGACTCAAGTTATTGCAAGAGGATGCTTAGATGTTGCGATATTTACAGGAAATTTGCATATTTCAAAAACAGTTATTCCAGTAACCAAAAATACGAAATGTAAAGCAGCAGAGTATCAAAAACATGTACTTATAATGACTGAAACTGTAGAAACTAGTTACTTCTAGTTATCTTGTTTGTAGTTTGTTTGTTATTCCTCATATAATCTATAAAAAAGTGTCAGTAACAATAAAGATCCTTAATAATCAAACTAGAATGAATTTTTTGATTAGAAAATTGATTGAAGTCATATAGCTCTATTCAAATTGTGTACTTTAGAAAAATTCAATGAAGGCAAACGATGTCTGGAGATTGGGTCAGGTCCAACTGTTCACTCATTGATTTCTGCTAGTCACCATTTTGATACTCTGGTGTCTAGTGATTACACAGAGAAAAATCGCGAGGAAATCAGAAAATGGCTGAATAAGGATGCACAAGCTTTGGACTGGACCATATTCTTCCGATTTGTCGCTAATATGGAGAAATTTAGGTAAGTTCTATTTAACTCATTTGTGATTCGATTTGAGCAAGACTAATGCATAGTAATCTTTGTAAAACATTTATAATAACAATAAAATAATACTTATAAAAAAACAGTTAGAAATCCAATATTTGTTCTACTTTATGTCGCAGAACGTATACTTGCCCGTTGGGATAGTTTCCTCAAAATTGAAAATAACTTATAGCCCATATAAAGCAGTGTTTCAACAAAATTGTATAGCCATGGGTCAACGAAGTATTATTCTTGAAATATAGCTCATGCAATACACTGTAGAAGTAGTCTCTAATGCTAAAAATAATTCGAAATTCATTATATTAGAAAGTTGTTTGGAACCAAAGACAAAAATCTAAGAAAAGAAACGATTATTTACTATATTTACACCTCACCTTATGATGACTCGATATACGAATCGAAACAGTGTAATTATTAAAATCAGAACTTGCTTATTGTAAAAGTTGCTGTTATTGTATTTTTGAATAAATTATGCAGTTCATTAGGTTCTTCACTAAACATTAATATTTAAGTAAATATCTATAAGTTAATCTTTAATATTAATATCCCGAATCAGAAACTTAGTAAATATTTAATTACATTAATTTGACCAATCCGTATTTGGAAAAATATACTTACTTCAACTCTAACTTTAACAAGTTTATCTTCACGAAAGTTTAAGTTTACAAGCTTTTAGTAAATATCAAAAGTCCGCTGTATACAAACTCCTGAATTATTGATAAGTATTTGTACTAAAGATTTTTGTGTGAATTTTCGAAGACTTTGCTCCTAAAGATTAAAACACTTTTTTGATCGTACACTTTACACATTTCATTTGATTAATTTCAAAACATCCTTAATGAATATTAAATGTGTTTGTCGGTAAAACTTTGTATTCTGTTTTTTTAGTTGCTCTACTCTAGCGGAAACTGTAAGTAAATCATCAGGGTAAAGTGAAACGAAACGTTGAAAAACAAAAGAAATGAAATGAGTAATACCCTTTTTTCCTCTGCACTGATTGCAGTATTGATCACTTACTTTAGGAGTTTCAACTGTTAATCTTTCTACACCTGTTTTCTTCTAATTTTATTGTCTTTAACACTGGAGCAGTAATTCTCCCTTCTAAAGCATTAACTCACAGTGTGGCCCATTAGTTGTTTATGTAGACCTTACCATAAACAGGAAGTGCTGTGCTTAGACTCGACCTTGTAAAGTTTTAGATGTTTTATTGAATTCTGGTAGGATAAGATGAGAAGTTTATGGTTTTTAGACTTTAGTTACTTTTGCTAAAGTATACATAAAAATAAATAAAAATGTCCAAAAAATAAACGATTTGTAGAACTCACTGTGTGTACTCGAGGAAAAATTAAAGCCAATCTTTCCTCAGCTTCGACGAGTCTCACAAATGTGAATGTCCAAAAATAATTATTGTAGCTCTTTAAAATATGCATTTAGAATAAAAAACAATATCAGTCATTAGAATAAAATATCCCAAAACTACTATAATGTAGCTAGCTTTCTAAGTAAGCTATACATAGGTTAAAAAAAGACCATTATAGATAGTAATATTGGTGTTCGTAAACAAAAACTAAGACAGGCTGTTATTCTATGACCGCCAGATTCCAACACTTGTAATAAGCTTTATGTAGAAGAGAACCCTTCTCTTCATATTGGTTATAAACATGCCCATCAGCACTGTAACACTGATTAGCAAAATAATCTCGAAAGCCAGATAGAAAGATATATGAGAAGGTTGACAAATTTATCTATATCTCAGGAAATAAATATTGTAGATGGCGAAAAATTTTGATTTCTGCTTTTAATTATGTTCAATTTGTGTTTCTTTTTAGTAGGAAAGTGTATCAACCTACTTTTAATGTAATAAAGTTCTGAAGTGGAGAAATTAGAACATGTGATGCGTCACGAGACTCAGAAAAATAAAAGTTGAATTTTTTTATATCTTGCTCTTTGAAATCAAGAACTGAAAGCTTAGATAATATTGTAAATTGAGTTATTAATTATATTTCCATCTCAAGTTTATTCACATAAATTAATTATAAAGTTACTTAATTACATCTTGAATAAAACACTACAGAAGGTCATGATAGGCACATTTTGAACTGCTCAAAGCAAATGTTGTATTGAAGAATACCAACACCATCGACAGTATCAAAAATGTTTACATGGACTTTTGAAACTGGTATCAGCTAATCCTACAGCCATAAGCATTCTTTTTAATTTTGATGTGGTTTCCTTTTATCTATCCCTACCTAGTGAATAAAATAAAACCTAACATTTAACAATTAACAGAATTTCTGGATACTATTAACCATCTGGCATTCCCGATTGATTTAAAGGAAGTGGCTCTTCTTTGAAATTTGCTTAATAGTTATTTCCCTTTTAGAAATGATACTCATCAACAAATCCAAGGTATTCCAAGTTTTAGCGGTTGTTTTTTAAATCTTACTTCACTGCACAGAACAGGTACTAATGATCCTCAGTATCTTTAAAGATTACGTATTTTGATTTTTCACAAATAGGATTATGAATAAATATCAGAATACTGTTAAATTCAATTTAAATTGTATTAATCCACTGATTTTAATCATTTTGACCAACGCTTTGGCTTATTTCATAAATCATGCCTCACACAAAAGAGTGGGATAAAATAAAAGACAGTATAAGGTTTTTTAGGATTTTTTGCGTTCCATCGTATATTGTTTAAGAAAACAACGGGGCATCCAGGAAAAAATAACATTTCATTGCGATTCTTTAAAACTGCTTTATGTGGTTATAAATGGCGTAAATGTTATCTGGACAGGTTATCTGAATATTATATATGGCTATAGAAATATATGAAGCCATGGAAGACAACCGGAACATCAAAGTAGGCTCAAAAGTAAAATCTTAGTTGATATCATTATAATTTTAGTTGTATTATTAATGAAATGACCTGGTTCAGGGCTGTAGCTTAAATGGAAGAACATAACATTATGGGAATTAATGAAACTTGTTTCGATTCAAGATTCCGCGTTATAAGTTATTTAATACTCTTAGACTTATGAGAGGTGCAGAGTGGCTTCTTATAAAAAGAATGGACTGCAGCCTCTTAGGTGGAAGACATAAAAAAATTTGCTCAAGAAGTCGAAGAACAATAATTTTATCACATTTTGACTTCTTTCTTGTCATCTAAAACAGATACGAAGGTACTGTTTTTAATGTGACGTAAGAATGTTTAAATGTGTGTAGAAACATAAAAATACCGGCATTCCAGCATTTGGGACAGTTGTGACAATACACGACGGTGTTCCCCATTTTTCAAATTTGGCTGGAGTCACTGCTTTATTTATAGATTAATAGGGGCGTAATTAGCTATTTAGTGAAGTTTGCTGATAACATTCAACTTTTGGATATCTTATCTGCTGTTTGGATGGTATTCCGGTATTACATAATGATTTGAATCAGTGTAAGTTGGGCAAAGAATCTTTATTAATAGTACGTGCATTTGTTATTATGATGTAGATCCCATTTTTTATACAGATGGGAACCACCCGGATAGAATAAATGAAGAAAAGGATCTTGACATAACAGTGGATAAGTCACTGAAGCCATCGAACCAATGATCTGTTTCTATTATCAAAGACAGTAGAATTTTATTGTGCACTTGTAGTCATATTGATTACAAGTTAAAATTATCTTTATACAATTCACTAGTTCTGCCTCATTTAGAATACGGTTTTGGTTTCCTTATCTAAGAAAATATATTGGCTTACTGGAAAGGAATCAAAGGATGGCAACTATGATGAACCAGGAATAGAAAGGTTGTCAAAAGGAATAGGTTAAGATCTCTTAACTTATTTATGGTTGTAAATCTAGCTGACTTTGTTGAAGTTACAAGATTATCTGGGGATTCATAGGATAAAGGCCTCTGGTTTCTTTGTGATATATTCTGAAAATGATATGACGAGGAGACGCAAGTTTAACATTTGGAACATATATGCTATGTTCCAGTTACGACAGTTAACTTCTTCTCACAGAGCGATTTATTTATGGAATTTTTTTGCTGTCAATAGCAGTGAAGGCCAGCACTTTACAGGAGTTTTAAGAAAAGAATGAATGATTTCATGAAAAGTAAAGGATGGGTTTAAAGTCTTTACTTTCCCAAGAAGAGTGCAAGGACAGCTTTGAAGGATGGAATAGTCCTTCTTGTCCGTAGGTTACGTTACGTTATATTAAATTAACCTAGGATGTAAAATGTGTGTGTGTATGTAAATTACACTAAAACATGTACTGCTGTAGAAAGTATGACCCATCGGCTGACGTACAAACCAAAATTGTAAACACCGCTGGCCCAATTTTAAGAGATTTCTACCGTGAACTGTGAACTTTAATACTTTACATTAAACACTGCTGAACTTGTTTCATTTTAGTTTCAATCAGCAGATTAGAATATTTTGTTTAAGGTTAATGCAGCTATTACAATGGAAAACATACGCGATATTGTAACATGTCCTCCCCCCTTTTCCAACTTGTAAGGATGCATACTTTCAGTAAAATCTGGTCATCATCCTTGTTTACATTTGCTTTCTCAGCTATATATTCTACGTGTTAATTTGTATCCCACCTCCTTGAAGACAGCGGAATAAGAAATTAAACCGTTTATAGTTATTTCATATAAGTGTGGCCCGGCATGGCCAGGTGGTTAGGACGCTTGACTTCCAATACCAACAAACATGCTCGCCCTTTCCGCCGTGGGGGCATTATAATGTTATGGTCATTCCCACTATTCGTTGGTAAAAGAGTATTCCAAGAGTTGGCGGTGGGTGGTGATGACTAGTTGCCTTTCCTCTAGTCTTACACTGCTAAATTAGGGACGGCTAGCGCAGATAGCTCTCGTGTAGCTTTGCGCGAAATTCAAAACAAACAAATAAACAAATTCATATAAGAATATAATGAAACAAAAACATTAGGTTTCTCACTTTTAGTTTTCTGTGATTTAAAATAGCAATCAGTATAGGAACTAGTTACCATTTATTGAGATTTAATCTACAGATATACGCCAATGGAAATTTTCGAAATTTTTTCGTACATATCTACACAGTGTGGTCACAGCTAATAAGAATTAATATGATTGGTTTATAGTAATGATCGTTAGGATGTTCCGATTGGCGTGACTTCTCTTGGTGTAATCACCATGAATCTTTAATCTGGAAGTTGCTTACATCGCTTATGGTGTTGTGGCCATATCAGTTTTAGCTGTAATGATATTTTTTTTCCAAATTATATCTGTGAATTGATATATTTATAACTTGATTAATATCTAGTAGATCTTCCTTTCGCTTCGTGGAGTTCGTTGATCCTTTGAGGCATCGTGAGAATCATCTCGTCAACTTTAGATTGTGCGATTTTCGCCCACTCTTGCTTCAAAACTTGGAGTAGATCGCTCATCAAAGTTGGTTTTTTTGGTTGTTTCTTGACTTGCCGGTCGAGTATGGCCCAGAGGTTTTCGATGGGGTTCATGTCAGGAGATTGGCTCGGCCAGAGCAACTTCTTTTCTTCCTGCCACTTTTGGGTGTTTCTAGCAGTGTGACACGGTGCTCCATAATCCTGGAACAACGTTGTGTTCTTGTCCACG